AAACTTTCGAACAAATAATTTGTTAGATTTGTTTAAATCATACAAATTAAAAGAACTTTAGGCCAAGTCTGCGTGTACGCCTGTTGATTTATAGGGCATTTAGGGGGATATTTTTATGTGAGCATCTCACATAACAAATACCTACAGGTAACAGACAGAAACTTACATAAACGAAAATGCCAGCCCCTGGACCCGGGCTAACAACTAAACTAGCAGTGGCAGAATGACACAAAGAATTACGTGAGGCTATCTATTAGGAGTGCTTTAGAGGGAAACTCAAAGATCAGGAAACACAGTTGCATTTAATCAAAGACTACACTTAAGAGAATCAAGGTAGAACGTGTCTCAACAACACAATCTTTTTTCTTTTTAACTTTTTACTAATTCTTTGTAAATATTGCATCACGCACCCCAGTCCCACTCACCTCCCTCTCCCTTTGTATTCACCCCTACACCCCCCTCCCCACGCAAAAACAAAAGAAACAACAACAACAAAAACCCTGTGTCAGTTGTGGCATGTTATAGTGTGTCACAGTATACCCTTTTGTCTACATGTCTGTACTTGCCATGAGTCATGAATGATCTGTTTGAGGCCTCTGGTTCTGCTCCACTGTCAACACTGGATTCTCACCGGGACTCCTTGGATATTCTGTTTCAACAAACCATTTTTATCTTAAACTCCGAGAAAGTCTAGCAAAACAAATGATCAGGGCTTCCTACGAACATGTAAGTTAAAGGGATAAGCCTGTTAGAGTTACTAGGAAATGATCAGACAGGCCCATGTTTATGGTGATGCGTTACGGTCTAGTCTGGGGATCACACCTAAACTGATTTTTTTAAAATAACTTCAAGGTCAGATGTCTCATTGTGAGTCCTCTTTGAGATGTGGTGTTTACCCTGACAGTATCTGCAGCAGGCAACAAGAATTCCCTGTTTGTAATGAAACCCAACCTTGTGCCTTCTTTCTGGGATTACCCAGAGGAAGAAGGGCCCTTCCATCCTCTGAAGGTGAAACCTCATTTTATTCCAGAGTTCAACCTGTCTGGTTGGTTGAACTTGTGGCACGAACCATGAAGGGTACAGCCTGAAACTGGCTTCGAGTCCATTGTGAGGGGAAAGAGGACTCACTGACCTGCAGAAAAGCCCAGGTACGCATTGGTCCGTTGGATCAGGATGTCTGGCAAGCCAAGGAAAACCGCAGGTAGCAGGCACCACCAGAGCCAAGTGTTCTACACCCGGGCGGCTGTGAAGAGCAAAGCAAGTGTCCGACAGAGAATGAGGGGAGGGGCAGGAGGGGTCTTAGGTATGTGCAGATTCATCTAGATGAGCTGTGGTTGTCACAGTGCCACATGCAGAGAATGCAGAAGGCTCCCAGAGGGAAAAGTGTCTCCTTAACCTTTGGACTATATTGGGCAGCCTTCCTTTCTCTAGTACCTTCAAGCACTGTGAAGAGTAGTCTTGGTGAGGAGCCTTCAAGGAAATAAGACTTTCCCTAAGAGAGTGAGAACTTTGGTTGATGGTTTAGTCCCTGGGAGCTCCTGGGGGGTCTGGTTGGTTGATATTGTTGTTCTTCCTTTGGGCTTGCAAACCCCTTCAGCTCCTTCAGTCCTTCCCCTAAGTCCTCTATTGGGGTCCCTGTGCTCAGTCCAGTGGTTGGCTGCAAGCATCTGTATCTGTATTGGTCAGGCTTTGTCAGAGCCTCTCAGGAGACAGGATGTAAAGCTCTAAGCTATTGTTCTAACACCTGCCTCCATGCTCCCTGCTGTGATCTATAATGATGTAGACTAGCCCTCTGAAACTGTAAGCCACCCAGGAAAGGCTTTCTTTTTAAGAGTTGCTGGGATCTTGGTGCCTCTTCACAGAGACAGAACAATAACTAAGACAGTGGTCAAGGCAACTTGTAGAAGGAAGCATTTCATGGAGGCTTGCTTACAGTTTCAGAGGGTCAGTCCATGTTTCTCATGGTGGGGAACATGGCAGCGGGTGTGGAACTGGAGCAGTTCCTGAAAGCTTCTATACTGATCCACAGCAGCAGGCAGAGAGAAAAATAGACTGGACCCGGCTTAGGCTTTTGAAACTTCAAAGCCCACCCCAGTAACCCCCCTCCTCTAGTAAAGCCACACCTTCTAATCCTTCCCAAGTAGTTCCACTAATTGTGGGACCAAATGTGCAAACATACGAGCTTATGGGGGCCATTCTGAATCAGACTACCACATGGTCTTACCTCATGGCCCATTAGTGTGAAGTCAGGATTTAAAGATCAGAGGTGTGAGGCTTGCTATCTTGTTAGGTAGTAAATTTCATATCACTGTCTTTCTTGAGACTGGCCGTTTGGAGTGGGAGTTGTAGGAGTTTGACTCTAATATTTGCATAAGGCTTTGGAAGTCACTGGTCAGTCTTCAGGCAATTAGGGTTGGGTTACTGGAGACTGGAACAGTCTGCTGTCACTTGTGACCTGTTTGCCTCCAAGGTATACTTTGGGGGAAAGTTTGGCATTTTCTTACTTAGTTAGCACATAGTTGCCATATGGCCCAAATTCTGGGTGTCTGTCCAAGACCAATAGAAACACATCTGTAGAAAGTCTTGTACTACAAGAATAGCAGTTTTGTTCACTGTTTTCCCACCTGGAAACAATCCAAATATCTTTTAACCAGTGAACAAACATCTAGGGATGAATCTCAGATTCATCTTGTTAGGTGAAGGGAGCCAAACCCAAAATGGTATGAGCTGTATGATTCATTTAGATTATGTTCTAGAAAAGGCAACATTGTCGGGACAGCAATCAGATGGCAGTCACCGGGAGATGGCATTGGCTTGGGGCACTGACTGCAAAAGGAGAGACTGAGAGGAGAAACTGGAGGGAAGGGAGTATTCTGCATCATACAGAATACAGAACAAGGCACCCATCTGGATTTAAAACAGGAAGAAGCTAAGCCTCTTCCCAGTTGCTGTTTTGTACTACTGGATTTAAAAATTAGACCAATAAGAACTTCATAATGTCTTGGATAGCTTCCCCAGACTTCATAATGTCTTGGATAGCTTCTCTAGATGGATGTCGTCATTCCTCAGTGTTGGGATCTAATGAATAGACCCCATTTTACTTATATCATTCATCTTTAATATCTAGTTCTTGTCTTCATCTGAAAACCTACTGCAGTGTTTTCATTTGATTTTAGCACCAAATTCCAGAGTCTCTGTCTGGAAGCTCCCCTCCTCTTCTATGACATTAACTTGCTATTATTTTTTCTTTTGCAAGTCTCCTAATTTCTCATCATCCACTCTTCTGTCTGACCTCCTCTAACCCCACTGTAGGCTCCGTCTGTGACTGACTGTTGAGTTCAGGTACCTAGGGGAGGCAGAGTCTTGTCTGGGCAGGTGGAAGATGGCTACATGATAGAATCTGATGATCCATTTGTTTTTTTGGGTTGCTTTTTAAAAGATGTGCTTGAAATTGTCAATGTATGTGTGTAATAGACAACTTTGTTGTTCTGTGATCTAGCCACTTTTAAATGGCCAGAAGAAAAGACATGGGTTATGATTCTTGCAGTCAGTGTTGGTTTCAAGGGAGGAGGCTTTGGAAGCAGCTTTCTCAACAGTAAATCTGTGTCTTTTACCTCTGATGCATCTGATTTACTATTTCAACTCACTAGGTAAGTCAGATTCTGCATGTTTGAAGTCTCGGGTTCTGTCCCCACCACCGCAGAAAAAGAGAAAGAGAACCTTAGTTTTATTTCCTGTCTTATATTCAGTCTTGGTGAATTTCTGACGTACAAACCGGTGGTCATAAGAGAGACGGTGAGAAGTAATGGGAAGCATGAGAAGCAGAAGGTCTCACCGTGATTTACACTGTGCTGTATACACCGCCAGCTACTTTTTTATTTACATGAGTATACCTATAGAATGCCTGTGTTATCTTTTAATGCATTAAAATTGGGATTTTCCCCATTTCTAAGCAGTTTTCTGGCTTATAGTTTTTAGTGGTTATATGTTGTACTTGAAATTGTCAACGTATGTGTATAATAGACAACTTTATTGTTCCATAAGGACCTATCTAGCCACTTTTAAATTTCTATTAGCACATAAAACATTTATTTCCATTAGCACATAAAACATTAGGTTTCATTATGGCAGTTTTCAAATGAAGTTTGTTTTTATTGATTATCAACTCTACTTCTTGTCCCCCTGTAGGATTCCCAGGTCTCCTCCCCCTTCCCTTGCTAGGACCCCCATAACTGCCTTTACTGTCTTATGTTCTGCTATCCCCATCCCTCTGTAGCCTCCCACCTCAGACTTAGTTTCATCACTGTGTTTTCCCTCCCTCCCCCTACCCCCCCGAATACCTGTTTGGTACATCGAGTTAGTTTCTCTTACACATTTTTATTTGTATGTTTGAATGGGTTGGAGAGTAATTTTCAGTTTCACTTCTCTGACATATTTTCCGATTCTGGCATGGGGTTTTTGTTACTCGATATGAGGTGTCATAGAGTTTTGGAATAATTGCATCTGTAATTATATTATTCTTCATAGTCATATTATTCTATATCTCATTTTTCCTCTTGATCATAATTGCCACAAGCTGACCATATATTAATTAATAATTAATTTTAAAGATTGTTATAGACTAATCAATTTATATTTTTTTAAAAAAACTAGGTTTGTGACTGCAGTAGTCTATGGATCTTTTAAGCCTTTTTTTTTTACCTTGTGAACTGACCTTAGTAACATTAACATTTAATAGAGCCTCAGCTGCTTCCTCTAACCATCCACAGGCTTTCCTTGGTTTGCAATATTTGTTTGATTTCTTCCTTTAAAAAAAAGTACAGGTTTGTTAAATTTTATAAAACCCACTTCTGGTAGACCTGGAGTTAAAGTTTGGTGGTAAACAAAGAAGAAAAATCCCTTTCTTTTCCTCAGTTGGACACTGAGTTATTGACAACCAAATGTGCTTATTGGGCATGGTACAGGCGTTAGCTTTTGGTGACTTCGTTTTCTGCTTGCAGATATCGCCGTGGTGGAGATGAGTGATGCCTTCCGGCAACCTTCCCTGTTTTACCATCTTGGAGTGAGAGAGAGCTTCAGTATGGCCAACAACATCATCCTCTACTGTGATACTAACTCTGACTCACTTCAGTCCCTGAAGGTAACATCCTCCTTCACACAGCTTTGATCTCAACACCAGTGGGCAGTGGTAGTGAGGCGCACCTTCCTGTCATCCAAAACAGTAGTTTACGTTTGAGAAAAGTTAGTTTTGTTAGTAGGATGATTGGGCAGGACGACTGGTCACCTTGTGAGGTCTATCCAACTGAAAATAAAAATGTGATTGTTTCATTTCAGACCTTGGGACAAGGGACTGGGGTACATATTTTACATATCAATGCAGACCTAGCATCCAGGTTCTCCCAGCATCCCTCAGTTCCTACCTGGCATACCCTTCCCCCAACCCGGAACTTTCCAGCCCCTGGAGGTTCCTCCCTCTATAATCCAGACCTCTCACCCTCTCCTCCTCCTCCTCTTCCTCCTCCTCCTCCTCCTCCTCCTCTTCCTCCTTCTGTTCCTCCTCCTCTTTTTCCTCCTTTTCCTCTTCCTCTTCTTCATCCTTCTCTTCTTCTTCCTCCTCCTTCTCTTCCTCCTCCTCCTCCTTCTTCTCCTTCTCCTCCTGCTCCTCCTCCTCCATCCCCTCTCCTACCACCTTTCCTTCTCTTCTATCTTTTTCTCTCTTTTTCTCTCCCCCCTCCCCCGCCTATGTCCCTTCTATCTTTGTCTACCTTCCCTCCCCAACCCCCACCTCCTTGGCCTCCTTTCTTTGGGCCAGTGGACTCTCCCCTGAGAGCAGCTTCCCAGCAAATCTTCCTTTACTATATTCTAATCTGGCTCAAATTGGCTCATTTTACTGGCAAAGAAATAACCTATCAGACCCAAGTAGAAAAACTTAGTGTTAATTTCTGAGTTCCAGATCAAGTTTCAGCCTATAGGATTCTTAGAAGTCCTTAGCAATGATGGTAGCATGTGCCTGAATCTCTGCTATTAACATCTTGAGGCTGGACGATCATGAGTTCTAGGTCAGCCTGGGCTACATAGAAAGAGATCCTGCCTCAAAACTCCAAAACAAGCATTCTACAGTAACAAAACTCACAACAGGAAGCCTTCAGTCCATACTTTTGGGAAAGAAAGCCCACATGAGATATGCTCGGCCCACTGGGGACTTCTCAGAGTAACTCCAGCTAAAAGTATGCTCCCTCCTTGAAAGTGCTTTCAATAGAGGTTTTCATGGCAGATCCCCACAAAACTGGGCATAATTTCAATTCAGATGACAGAAGGCAACAGAAACATGTTTTTTCTGTAAAGTCCAACCTACTATAATATCATTTTATCTGGTAATAGGCAACTACCAATATATAGGCATTTCCTCCATCCAACATGGCTGACTGAAAGGTTCTTGCCATGAGGTGTGTGGTGGCACACAACTTTAATCCCAGCACTCAGGAGGTACAGGCAGGTGGCTGTCTTTGAGCTCTAGGCTAGCTCTAGGCTAGCCTGATCCACATATAGATCCCCAGGATGCTACCTATCAAGGACCTGTTTCGAAAACAACAGAAGAAGGAGTAATAAAGGGTGCTTGCCAGGCGAGTGATTTTTACACTGTACGCTCTTTGAAAAGCATACGTAAAAGCAAGTGTGGTGTCTGAGATCACTCATTTCCTTCATGAAACCAGCACTGCGCTTCAGGAGGCCTTTTCAAAATCATCTCCATTTTCCAGTTTCAAATCAAAGTCAGCCTTACGGTGGGTAGGGCCGTAGAATCCAGGGCAATGGCTTAGCAACTCTATCAAGGCCTCCAGCCAAACATCCACGCAAAGATCTTAGTACCATCTTGCCTTTATCTGAGCATTAAGGCATAAGTAATGTCGCTTTCTCTGGTTGCCTGCAGCTTCATTAAGCAAACACATTTAACTTCCTGCCAAAAGCTCATTGTTCTGGACATGAGAGGTATAACCCAGCTCAACCCTAAGACATTCACACCTACTTGGCCTAGCTCTGCTCCCCCACCCCCAGCCCCCACTAGTCCTTTGTGAAAGCTCTCTTAGTTTTCTTTCAGGTTGACTTTGTCTTACTGCACCCTAATCTGTACCTGGGCTTCTCTAGTTCTGTTCTGTCCCGTCCACCGTTGGTGAAAGAGTCAGATAGTTTCATTTATTTTGGGATTTCATTTGTCTTGGGATCAAACCCTTTTTGGGTTTAAATTGAGCTCTTTGGCCGTTTGGAATTGATTTTTTTCTAAGTGTATAGATAGGACCTGAATTTCATTTTTCCACCTGTGGACATCTGGTTTTTCAACATTATTTGTTAAAGCTCTAGTCTTTTCTTCAGTGTGTTTTTGACATCTCTGACAAATATCAGATGGCAGTAATTACTGTGGAGGACACAGAATCCCCTCAGGGAATTCTTCGCCTTAAAGAAAAAGCAAGCAAGCAAGGAAGCGAACAAGCAAGCAAGAAAAGACAGAGTCTCTCATTGGCCTCCAGCTTGCCGTGTAGTCTAGGCTGGCTCTCCAGCAAGCCCCAGGAATCAGCCTGTCTCTGATTTTTAATAAGTGCTGAGATTATAATTGTACAGCATCACACCTGGCTTTTTTTTTTTTTTTTAATGGGTTCCTGGGCTTGAACTGTGGTCATCACAACCAGGTTTCTTATTCAGCTTGTTTCTAGTCAGGTCGTTCCCTTGCAAAGGGCAGAGATAATAAGAGCAATTTCTGCAGCCTCACAGAGTCCTGAGCTCTGTGCTCCTGTGGAAAGCTGGTACTTGTGCAGGGGCTGATTGCTGCTTGACTTTATTTCTTTATGTGGTGGTTTGCAATAAGCATGACTTGGCTATTCCAACTGTCTCCCGCTAGAAAGAGCTGCAAGGAACAAAAGCAGCCATTTAAAACAGTGTATCACGAAGAGCAAATAAATGACAGCTGGTCCCCTCGCCCC